AAAACCGCACTATTCTTCATCTGTTTTTTATACAATTATCATTACTATGGGAGTTATGAAAAAAAAATTAAAAGATACACATTTTCATGCAGTTTGACGTGACATCTAATCAGGCCTACCTGTGGGCTGTTGTCAAAAGGGGCAGGTCCCTCTACCCCCTCAAGTCCTTTCCACCACCTGACATACTTGTGTCTTCCTTCTTCTTTCCTTCCCTAGTTACATCTCATTTAGCAACTATTTAGCTACTGGGTGAACAGTTATTTAACTGATTTCAGTTGAGGAAACTGGCAGATGGAAAGCTCAGTGAATTGATGCAACCTGTGGCTGCATAATTCCTAGATTCAAAGTGAGGGAAGAAGTGGAAGCACGTTGCCAAGAGTTAGCTAACACTACCTAGTGTGATGACAACCTGCCATCTTACCAGGTTAACTGTAGCTTAAAACCACACCTTGAGTAGCACAGAGATGACCTAGGAGTATTAGTTACTACACTAGATTTCACACTATCATTTATAGAACTATTTTATTTTTATTATCTCTACTAAAAATGATGCCAGGGTTTAGGTTATAATGGACACTGTTACTCAGTGCAGACAAATGTCCCATAAGTGTCGAGATGCTCAAAACCAAGAATTTCAACAAGGACTGCTAGCGTGTAAGGCAGTTCCAGGATGGATGTTGAGTAACGTTTCTCCTGAAAATGGATGCAAGGATGTAATTCATCCTTGCTGACTTCACTAATACTACCAAAAGTATAAAGGCTTGTGGTGCCTCAAATACTGAGTATGCTTAACAGGGTGAACAGTCTTACTGACTCATTAATGGTGTCATTATCTCACCTAGCTGTAAAAATACTTAATGATTATCTAGGGAGATTTTCAAACAGTAGTTGAAATGATCTTGTGGTAAAAAAGAAATGCGTAAATTCTGACAGAATCTCGGTCTTTGGAAAAGAAAACAATGTAGACTACAAAGAATGTAAAGGAAGTCAGGAGAAAGGGATGACTTAGATATCTGCTGTACTGTGTCCTTTCCATTATAGAACTAAAAGTAACAACTAGGCCTGTTTTTTGCAGGTACAAGGTAATCTAAGGTGAATGTTTTTATTATGAGTTTTGGTTATATGGGGTGGTAGAGAAAGAAATGCTTGAGGTAGCAGTGAGAGAGAAAAAATTAACATTTTGAATGTTAATTTGGATAAGACCTGTTAAAATGACAAATCTGTGTACCTCCTATAAGAAAATCTCAACACGTTTTATAAGTAATAATGAACCAAATCCTTGCAAGGTAAGTCATGACACCAAAAAACCAATGGATGACTTCACTGTGCCTCAATTTGAGTCAGTTGTGCAGATCACTTAGTGAGTCAGCCACAAAGTTAGGAACATAACCTCATGTTGAATTTCAGGCTTTACTGAGCCTGATACCAAAATCTGCTTTTACAGTCATAATGTCACATTCAGTATCATAACTCCCTGCATTATTTGCCAGCTGTCGGTCTCAGAAGTAGTAAAACTGAATGAGTCAGCAAGCATGCTAAAGTAAATTATGAACTGCACATCTAGCTAACTATGTCCTCCTTTGTCTATCTTTGATAACAGCAGCAGCTCTTAAACCAGTATTTCACCACATAACTTTATATCTCTTAAATTACCAGGAGACAGCAAGCTACCAAGAGGTATATTATATTTGGAAATCCACTGTGAATCCAAGCAAAGGTCAACAAGTCAATTTTGTGGGGTTTCTTCTTTTGTTTGATATATTCAGGTTTAAGGAATTCACAAAAAATACGCACAAATGTCAAACAAAGATATTAGCCTGATGCCTTTACAATTTCTGAATATTTAATTTGAATTCATTTTGCAGTTAGCGCTTTCAAAATAACTCACGTACTCCTCTTAGACTCTAAAATAATTCAAGATAACCTTTGCTTCAAAAGATACATGATGTAGACACTAACTTAGATTGAGACCAAGATTATTGATTTTTCTTTCTGGAAGCTTGTAAAAGAGAAAAATGACTACTTACTTCCTAAGGTTGTTTAGTAACATGATGTTCACATACATATAGTACAAATAATAGCTATATGGGGGATTCTTCTCACTGGTCCAGAGGTCAGGGTTAAGGCTCTTGTCAGAGAACATATGGCCACTATGTTTGGATTCATCATCAACGCTGTCAAAGCCAGTCACCTGTTGGGAGAAGAGAGTCACAGAAATCAGTGTTTTCAAGAAGCAAACTTCAACATTACTTACTCTTGCTTCAGGACTTGCTTTTACAAAACATCTAGTCTTTAATTTCCCCGCTTATACTAGCAGTCCTGCTGCTCTGCTCTCCTACCATAGCATGCAGACAGCAGGA